ACAGAGACCAATCCAAGTCGAATAGATGCAGGTTGGGAGGGCCAGGAAGGAGGCCAGGGGGCAGACTCCGGGGAGGCATCGGGCGACGCCCGGCAAGAGCAATGCCCCAGGAGGAATAAGAGCAGTGTGGGAGGCAGGAGGAGCCCAGGGACAGCTCAGGGATTGGGGCCCACCAAGCAGTCCCACCCCGGTGAGATACGAGCCCAGGTGGGAGGAGCTGGAGGAGCCAGGGGGCAGCTCCGGGGAGCCAGGGAACCAAAGGCAGAGCATCCCAGCGAGTGAATAGAGCCAGGGTGGGAGGCCCAGAGGAAGCAGGACAGCTCCGGGAGCCTCAGGGGAGCAAGGCCAGAGCATCCAGGTAAAACCAGGAGCAGGTTGGAGGCCCTGGAAGTGAGGCAGGCAGGTAGCCCTCCCAGGGAGGCCGGGAACCCAGGCGGCAGAGCAGTTCTGGGTGAGGCAGAGCAGAGGGCGCCCAGTTCCCAGGAGCTCGGGGGACCCAGGGCAGGAGAGGCGTAGGTGAGTGTCAGCTGTGCTTCTGGTCCCACCTGGGAAGGGATCCAGGGCAGAGCTATCCCAGGTGAATAGAGCAGGTGGGAGGTTGGAGGAGCAGGGGCAGCTCCCGGGAGCTCAGGGGACCAGGGCAGAGCAGTCCCAGCTCAACAGAGCAGGTGGGAGGCTGGAGGAGCAGAGGGCAGCTCCAGGGAGCTCAAGGGACCAGGGCAGAGCAATCCCAGGTGAATAGAGCAGGTGGGAGGCTGGAGGAGCAGGGGGCAGCTCCAGGAGCTTAGGGGACCAGGGCAGAGCAGTCCCAGGTGAATAGAGCAGGTGGGAGGCTGGAGGAGCAGGGACAGCTCTGGGGAGCTCAGGGGAGCAGGGCAGAGCAGTCCCAGGTGAATAGAGCAGGTGGAAGGCCGGAGGAGCTGGGGGGAGCTCAGGGGACCAGGTCAGAGCAGTCCCCGGTGAATAGAGCAGGTGGGAGGCAGGAGGAGCAGGGGCAGCTCCCAGGAGCTCAAGGGACCAGGGCAGAGCAGTTCTAGCTAAACAGAGCAGGTGGGAGGCAGGAGAAGGAAGGGGCAGCTCCCGGGAGCTCAGGGCAGCAGGGAAGAGAAGTCTGAGCTCAACAGAGCAGGTGAGAGGCGGGAAGAGCAGGGGGCCTTTCCTGGGATCTCGGGGTACCACAGTAGAGCAGTCCCAGGTAAACGGAGCAGGTGAGAGGCTGGCGGAGCAGGCGGCAGGTCCTGGGAGTTCAGGGGACCAGGGCAGAGCAGTCCTAGCTCAACAGAGCAGGTGGGAGGCAGGAGGAGCAGGGCCAGCTCCCGGGAGCTCAGGGGAGCAGGACAGATTAGTCCCAGCTCAACAGAGCAGGTGGGAGGCAGGAGGAGCAGGGGTAGTTTCTGGGAGGTCAGGAGACCAGGGCAGAGCAGTCCCAGGTGAATAGAGCAGGTGGGAGGCTGGAGGAGCAGAGGGCAGCTCCAGGGAGCTCAGGGGACCAGGGCAGAGCAATCCCAGGTGAATAGAGCAGGTGGGAGGCAGGAGGAGCAGGGGCAGCTCCGGGGAGCTCAGGGGACCAGGGCAGAGCAGTCCCAGCTCAACAGAGCAGGTGGGAGCTGGAGAACGGGCAGCTCCAGGACAGGGACCAGGCAGAGCAATCCCAGGATAGAGCAGGTGGAGGCTGAGAGCAGGACAGCTCCCGAGACTAGGACCAGGACAGAGCAGTCCCAGGGAACAGCAGCTGGGAGGCAGGAGGAGCAGGCAGCTCCGGGAGCTCACGGACCAGGGCAGAGCAATCCAGGTGATAGAGCAGGTGAGCAGAGGAGCAGGGGAGCTAGGGGATGGGCAAAGCTCGTGAATAGAGCAGGTGGAGGCAGAGGGAGCAGGCAGCTCCGGGAGCCAGGGACCAGGCAGAGCAGTCCCAGCTCAACAGAGCAGTTGGGAGGCTGGAGGAACAGGGGGCAGCTCCAGGAGCTTAGGGGACCAGGGCAGAGCAGTCCCAGGTGAATAGAGCAGGTGGGAGGCTGAAGGAGCAGGGACAGCTCTGGGGAGCTCAGGGGAGCAGGGCAGAGCAGTCCCAGGTAAACAGAGCAGGTGGGAGGCTGGAGGAGCAGGGGCAGCTCCTGGGAGGTCCGGGAACCAGGGCAGAGCAGTTCTGGGTGAGCAGAGCAGGGGGCAGTTCCCAGGAGCTCGGGGGACCAGGGCAGAGGGCTGGTAGGTGAGTGTCAGCTGGTGCTTCTGGTCCCGCTGGGGGCCTCAGCAGGGGCAGCCAGTGCCTGAGTTGCAGGGAGGGAGGGGCAGCCTGGTGGGGGTCCTTAGCTTCCTGTGGGGGGTACACCCAACCTCCACTGAGGACCCAGGGCGGCTGGGCCAGTACCCGAGAGCGAACAGGGGCTCCCCGGGCCTGGGATGCTGGTACTGGACAGGAAGGGGAGGGTTGAGGGCAGGTGCAAGGTGCTACCCATGCTGGGCTTGGGGGACTGTGCCCAGCTCAGCAGGGACCCACCAGCTGGGGGCTGTGGAGACAGAGAGCCCCTGGACAGGGGGCCGGCAGGGGTGGAGGGGCCGTGGGTGGACCTCAGGCAGCCACCAGGGTCACTGAGATTCAAGAGCCTGGGCTGGCGTGAGCTGGGGCCGCAGGTGAGGGAGGGGATGGGTGCATGGGGAGATTATGGGGGGGCTGCTCCAGGACTGAAGGGAGCCCCGGGTCTGGGGCTGCGACCCAGCCCCAGAGCCCACTGCAGAGGGCACTGGGCCTGGAGGGCGGAGGGCGCCATGACCAGGCCTCCGGGCCAGGCTGGGCAACAGGGC